TTTTAATCATCTATTTGCTAAATATAGGCTTGTTTAAATGTAAGCTGTTGACAGCTTTAAAATATTTGGCCACATTAGTAGCAAGTACTGTTAATTCTACCTAGTGTGTTACTTTAAAAAAATGTTTCATAATGTTGTTGTTGTTGTTGTTGTTGTTATGTGCCATAGAGTCATTTGCCACTCATAATGACCCTATGTACAATAGCCCCGAAACCTTCTCTATACGGTGCCAACTTACTGGCTCTAACACACCTACCCTCATTACCTCCGTCACTTAACCAATAAGTCTCTTCCATGGTCTCCCTCATTTCTCTGTCCCTCCACCCTCCCAAGCATGCTGTCTTCCAAGGATCCCTCCTTGCAACACGCCCAAAGTATGTCAGATGAAGTCACAGAATCCTTGCCTTCAAGGAGCAGCCTGGCTTCACCCTCTCCAGGACAAACCTGGAATTAGACAACAAAAGATAAGAACACATTTACCATTTTCCAGCTGACAGAACTCAGGAAAAATGCAGGTTCCGAGTTACAATAGTGAAGGATTGTATGGGCAAAATATTAAGCAACATTGTTTTTATTGTTAGATGTTGTAGAATCAACTCTGACTCATAGCAACTCTACGAACAATGGTCCGAGCCCTGCTCTATCCGGTGCCATCCTCACCATCTCGGCTGTACTTCAGCCTATTGTTACAACCACTGTGTCAGTCAAACTCATTGAAGGTCTTTCCTCGTTTGCTAACCCTCCAATTTTCCAAGCATAATGTGTTTTCCAAGGAATGGCCCTCCAAAGAACATTTCCCAAGTTTGTGGGATGAAGTTTCACCCTCCTTGCAGCACCTTCTTGCATCTTCTCCAAGACATATTTATTTTTCTTATTATGGTACTCCATAGAATAGTCAGTAATCTTCCTACACCAGTAGCAAAGACATCTATTCTTCTTATGTAATTTTTATTTATTATTTAACTTTTGGAGGCATAGAATGTAATTGAAAAGACCATGGCTTGGATCAGGTGCACCTTGGTTGGTAGAATCAAAAGAAGAGGGGTGGATGGCATAGACAGAATCACTGTACCAAAAAGACTAGGTAATTTTCAATTATTTCATGGGTCAGTCTGTCATAAGGAATCAACAATGCTGAAGGAAGAATTGCAAGCTTAACTGAAGATATTGGTAAAAAGAAGGGCCTCTGGGAATTAATAGACTAGCAATTGAGATGTTTCAATAAATAATGCAATTACTCAAAGGGATCACTTTAGGTGAAAAAATTGAGAAGTTTGACACTTGACCAACTAATTGGAAGTGATCCATATATATGCCCTTTATGAAGAAAGAGAAACCAATGAAGTGTAGCAATATCATTAAATACACAAGTAAAATGTTGCTGAAAATGATTAAAAAACCAATTACAACATTACATCAACAGAAGAAAGTCAGGAATTCAATTACCTTACAGAAGACGTGATATCATGATTGTCATATGAGTCTTGTCTGAAATTAGAGAAGCCCAAAAATATGCTCATCTTTGTTTTGTTAACTGTTCAGAGACATTTAACTGTCATTTGGAGCATAGCAAATTATAGATAGTGTTGGGAAGGGAAGGAATCGTACTCATGTGGATCTAGTACATCCAAGAGAAAAATAGAGCCAAACAATTAGACACTGAATGATTTAATATCAGGAAGCTGTGCATCAGGATTGAATAATTTTCTCAAATTTTTTTCCAATCTCTGTGCTGAACTAGTAGTCTAGGAAGTTGGACTTTCTATAGAATAGCATGGTGTAAGTATTGGAGCAACACTTATTAATAACGTCCTAAACACAGATGGCATAACTTAGTATTATTTTCCATATAGATTACATGATAATGTTAAGAAAATACAAAGCTCTCAACTAAGCAACATAATGATGAAGGGAGAAAATATTGAAGTTGTTAAGAATTTAAATTTATTTGAGTCCACATTCAATACACTTGGAAACGGAGGTCAAAGAGTCAATGTGTTACAAGGGAAAATCTGTTACAAAAGACAGATTTAAAATATTAAAAATAAAGATGTTACTCTGAGGACTAAAATGTGCCCAATTCAAATAGTATAATTTCTGGTGAAAGTTGAACAATGAATAAGAAAGATATAAAAGAGAATTGAGGACTTTAAATGGTGGTATTGGATAAGAATATTGATTATATTCCTAGTAAAATAAATGGAAGAAGCATATGATCTTTTTTAAGTGTATATGGCTGGACTTCATGTAACTTACCTGTAAGATGGACCAGTCTCTGGATAAAGACTTCCTGCTTTGTAAAGTAGATAATGTGACAAGGAAGACTCTCAAAAGGATATATTTGACAGAGTGGCTGCAATAATAGACTCAAACATAGCTGTGTTGGTGAGAGCTGGGCAGGTTTTGTTGTTACTCATCGTTACACTATGTATTGGAACTTACCTGACAGCCTCTAACAACGGTGCTCTGCAGATGCTTTTTGAAGAGTCTCGGCAGCCTTGAGTTGAGATTTGTAGTGTCCTCAGAAAATAGTTTGCATTTCTGGCCCTTCCGACAATATTAGATCTTTTTACCATGTAAAATTAACACATAAAGTCCTAATGTGATTTATTTCTTAGTGTAAGTGCATTATATGATGGATTCTTGAGAAGTATACTGTATTAAAATGGTTAATAACATATTGAACTAAACCATCTATTTCCACATTATTGCACCATCTTTTTGTCCCTCTGGTGTTTCAACAAATGCATCTCTGCTAGGAGGTAATTGATACTCGTGGATCACTATTTAGAAGGGTTTGTTTTGACTTAGTAATTTTAGATACTTTTTTATAAAGAGAAGTATCCTTTCTTTTTCCAATACTTTTCCATTTTCAATATGCTGCCGCTGATATGTGCTGTCAAGTCACCTGCGACTCATAGCAACCCTATATACCCTATGCTCTGAAGCCTGCCCTGCCCTAAGCTAGTCTCACTGACTCCAATTGCCCTAGTTGCTGTATCATCTATTTCAACCAGGGTCTTCCTCTCCACCCTTCTGAGCATGATATCCTTCTCCAGGGCTCCTGGCGACATGCCCAAAGTATGTGAGACAGAGTTTCAAAATCCTAGCCTCCAAGGAGAAAGTTGGTTTCATCCTCTCCAAGACAGACCTATTTGTTTTCTTGGCAGGCCACGGTATGTTCAAGACTCTTCTCCAGCACTACAACTCAAAGATGGTATACAGGAAACTTGCCACTCTTGCCACTTACTTTCAACTTGTTCCACTCCACCCTACCATACAAGTAAAATGTGTTTAGGGATAAAGTCAGAAGACATGGAGATTTCATTTACTTTGTGGCTCCTGTAGCACAGTTGTTGTTGTTGTTGCTGTTGTTATGTGCTGTCGAGTTGCTTGCGACTCATAGCAACCCTATGAACAACAGCCCTAAACTCTGTTCTGTCCTGTGCCAATCTTATTGTCTCTGACACACTCATCCCGATTACCTCAGTCACAGAATCAATCTAACTCCCAGAGGGCCTTCCCCTCCTGCACCTGCCCTCCACCCTCCCAAGCATGATGTCCTTCTCCACGGACCAGTCTCTCCTTACAACATGTCCAGAATATGTCAGACGAAGCCTCAAGATCCTTGCCTCGAAAGAGCAGCCCAGTTTAACCCTCTCCAGGATGAATCTGTTTGTTTTCTTAGCAGTCCACGGTATCCTCAATACTCTTCTCCAACACCAAAGCTCAAAGGCATCAATTCTCCTTCTAACCTCCCTGGTCATTGTCCAACTCTCTGATGCATAACAAGTGATTGCAAACACCATGGCCTGTGTCAGACACACCTTAGTCTCCAGAGACACACCATTGCTTTTCAGTACTATAGAGAGGTCCCTAACATCAGATTTCCCCATCGCAGTATGTCTTTTAATTTCCTGGCTGCTGATACCAAGAGTGTTGATTGTGGAGCCAAGCAGACTGAAGCTGTGAACAATCTCAATCTCTTCACCATCCATCCTGATGCTGCCAATTGGTCCAGTGGTGAGAATCTGTGTCTTCTTGACATTGAGCCTCAATCCATATTGAAGATTGCGGTCCCTGACCCTCAGCAGCTAGCGCTTCAGGTTCTCTTCAGTTTCAGCAAGCAGGGTTGTGTCATCTGCATAACTCATATTGTTGATAGATCATCCACCAATCCTGATGCCACATTTCTCCTCACAGAGCCCAGCCTCCCGAATGATCTGTTCTGTATACAGGTTGAAAAGGTCTGGAAACACATCTGTAACACTAGGCAATATTAATTACGTATTATTTATGGCAAGATTAGCAAAAGTGAGAGAAATCTTCAATGAGATAGACTAGCAAAATAGCCAAAGACAATGTTCTTAAGCATACATCTATGATAAAGATGAAAGTTCAGATTTACATAAAGTCCACAAGTCATAGATGACTCAATTGCAACTAACGACAGCCTTTTTTATAGTTCAACGAACCATCAGGGATTTGATTAACTTCAGCTGCCTTGACTTCTTTGATATGCTTTCCTGGGTTTTCCTTTCTTTCTTTGCAATCCCAGTTACTTTGCCAGCCCATTTCTCTGTCAATCTCTTGAACACTGTGTTCCTGAAGATTCTATTCTAGATCATTTTCTCCTGCTAAGATGTTCCCCTGACTTTAATGATCAATGGTTGTTGTTTTTGTGTGCTATCAAGTGGGACTATAACTACCAATCCAGTAGTTCCAGAAGCTTTAAATTGTCTAAGAGAAGACTCTCCATCTTTGTTCCACCAAGCAGGCAGTGGGTTTGAACTACCTACCTTTGAGTGAGCAGCACAGCTTCTTGCAGCTGAACTGCTACAGTCCCCAATTATCAACTATGTGCTAGGAATCTGCAAATCTAAATCTGAAGACCAGGATTAATTCCTAAAATCAAACTCTGTATAAATATTGCCATTCTGATATCGTTATTTATTAAGTGTGTGGTGTTGAATATATGACACTTCTTTTTCTGTTTACAGGCAACAGGTCCTCAGGGTTTATTAAAAGAAGGTGCCAAAGGTTCTCTTCAGAAAAGCTTCAGGATTCTTAACGAAGCCAAGAAGTTAGCAAATAAAGTGAAAGGTTAGTGTGGCTGGCCTCCGTTTATTATTATTTTCATGTCAAATATAATTGTAATTATTTGGAAATTTTATCACACTATTGAAGGAACATAATTGTTTCAGCATGATTTTATGGTTACTTTATTATCTAGATTTAGTGCAAGTGATAAACTTTCTCATTTGTTTTATAGTATTTTGTTTTCATAGCTCATGTTGCACTAGATAATATTTTATAATGTTTAAATTTAATTCCTACTGCATCACTTCTCCAAAACTTAAAAGTATTCTAATATTTAAAATAGTTTGTTTATGAAGCTGTAAACCTGTAACCTGTACTATTTCTTTCATGAATGAAAGTCAAGAAGACATGAGTGAAGCACATAGAGTACAAATTCATTGTCAGGATTTCAGTTGTGTTCATGGAATATACTTCCTGAAAAATGTTTCCATTTAAAAAAAAATACACACTAATAGAATGTGTTAAAAAATGATTAAACTTTATCTTTGAATGATCTTATACATTTTACATAGAAAATTAAATTAATGCATTTAAATATATAGAATTGTCTCTTGTTCCTCTTTCCAGTATAATTTCTTACTCTTTTGAGTATGTCCCAATCTCTCGATTCTTAATTTTCATGAGCCTTCCAAAACATCCTACCATTGCAAGTTAATTAATTTTCATAGTGTTATTTCTTTTCCTTGGAATGTTTTAATCTACCATCCTTTTTCATCTAATTCATTTCTAACCCATTTTGAGATTCAGTCTACATGAATCCTACTCAGGAAATCAAAATTGTCATCCCTTTTATATAACCAACATTCTATATATAGGAGCCTTTAGTGGTTAAGCATTGAGAGGTTGGCAGTTCAAACCCACCAGCTGCTCTATGGGAGAAAAATGAAGACGTTTGCTTCTGCTAAGATTTTCACTGTTAGAAACTTTATTGAGAAGTTTTATTCTGTCCAACAAGGTCATTATGAGCAGGATTCAACTCAACAGAAACAAATTTGCTTATGGTCCTCTCTGTCTACACTTCTCAAAAATGTGCTAAACCATTATAATAATGAAATTATTTTATTAAATCTTCAGAACAGAGAATTTCTGGCTGTTTTGGTTTTCTTTTTTATTTTCTCTTTCTAGTACATACACTAACTCAAACTGGGAAATAATTACATATTTACTTTTCCTTTTCACTGACTTAATGGTGCTGGTCTATACTTGAGAAGAAAAGGTGGTTTATAAATCAATTGTATTTGGCATATGTTAAACTTATATTCCTTGGTCTCTGATAATGGCCAACTTAAAATTATAAGGTCTATCTCCATCATAGCTGGCGTTTCTAAAGTAAAATGCTTTGGACTGTGTATTATAGCTAAAATAAAATGCACTCTATACATAATTCTGTGTAAGTAGTAGGTTATTATAACTTGAAGAGTCAACTCGTAATGGCACAGTGACAAGTTTCCTAATGAATAAATGGAGTTTGTGGTCACTCCTTCCTATTTGGGGAGCCCTATTGGAGCGATGGCTAACTAAAAGCTGACAACTAGAAGAAATCCATCCATCAGCTCCACAGAAGAATGACCTAGTGACCTGGCTACAGAAAGATTGGTGGTGGTTGTGGTGTGTGCCATTCTGTTGACTTGAATTCACAGCAACCCTATAGTACAGAATAGAAGGGTCTCATAAAGAGTACAAAGCTGTTTTTACTGAAGCCGACTGCCACTTTTCCTCATGGAGCAACTAGTATGCTCAGATCTCAACCCTATAAGTTAGTAGCTGAATGCTTTTCATTGTACCATCACAAAATGTAAACTTCATAGGCCAATTCTGTTCTGTCACACAAAGTCACTATTAGTCAAAATTGACTGCAGGACACCTTAGAAAACCACCATATTTCTATGCATCTACCCAATAGCCCAAGGCTATGAATGGGATAAGATGAATGAACTTAATCATTCAGATGCAGGGTCAAAGGCTGTCTTTATTTAAAAGTTTGGTATCTGTGTTACATCATGAAATTTTTTGCAATAATTTTTTAAAGTGTTTTATTAAAAAAATAATTATATCTTCACAGCTGAGCCTTGTTTGGTGCCCATTCACACCTGATATGAATACCTCATTGACTTCACCCTATAAATAACCTTTTTTGCCTCTATTTCCCCCCATAAACACAGGTATTATAAATATAAAGAAAATATAACATTTTTAGGGATTTTTCCAAGGGAAAAATAAATCTAATGACAGCCCTGGTAGAAGGGGTTAGGAAACTGAAATTTTCATTAGTTTAAATGTCTCTTTTTGTACTTCAGGTAGTACATTATTTAAAGTAATGAAAACCCACAAACTCCTCAAGTAATAATTCCTCCAGAAAGCCAAGCCAAGGCTATGATGGAGATTGGAATGTTTTCTTGCTACATTATGACATGTCTCTGATTTGTGGCCAATTACACAAGTTATAAAATGGCTGTTAATCAGGAAAATGCCATATATTATCACCAGGAACTGCTGAAATAGGCCCTACAGAGCAAAACTCTTGACAGCAGCTATTAAAATAGAGATTTAGTAATTTCTTTCTCTATGGTGCCTGGAGTTAGAAAGAATAAAAATGGTGGGGCCGATTACCCTCCATATTTCTAATTCTTGCTTGGTTCAGTTCGGTACAATTCACTTAGTTCGTGAGCTTCCATCAAGAATGACTTAGTGCTCCTGCCTGCCATTTTTATGCTGTCCTTGCCTTGAGGGAGTCTGAACTTGCCAGAAGCAATTTGTCTTGCTTTTTAATTTTTGAATATACATCAATTAAAGTTATATTTGCCCTTGTGTGCATCTGAGGTTTGAAGCTATTCTACATTGTACTGATTGTCTGTGGAGATAAAAATGATTTTGCTGATGGATATGAGGCTTGGTAAAAACTGATGACCAAAATAGTTAGAAGATGAATGAATATCACCAAGTGAATTAATACTAACTTGCAGACGGATAGGAAATTTTGTCAATATAATAGTCATTTAAGGTTGTTGTGAAATGTGTATAGAACAGGGACTGAAGTACATAGATAGTATATTAGAAATCTGACCGCTCTAAGCTTTTAATGCTAGCTACCTTATCATATAGAGCGTAACTTTATTATTTTATTTACTCCTTCGTTTGCTCATATTTTTGTCTTTGTCTCACATAAGTGAAATTATTTAGGAGGAAATGAGTAATCTTTCTGTACAACGAATGACTCTCACATGAAACAAAAGGTCTATACCTAGGCTCAAACATACTGAATGAGTGTATTTCTTGACCTAGAGTGATAGCCAACACACAGTTTAATACAAAATGTTAATTAATACACACATTAATTTTTATAAGAACAATCAACACTTTCTTCTGGACTATGATTCTCCGTACATACAGTTAATTAGTCCAGAAAAGCTTATCAGAAGGGATTTGTGATCAAGTGTGTCATACACTTGCAATTTTTAATCTGTTGAAATCGTACTTTATATTTTAAAAAAAGAATACACAGGAACACTTTAGTGCTTCTACACCAAAGTATGATATAAAAGTTAAAGTTTGAGAAAATATTATTTTATTATTTAAGATGTTCACCTTTCTAATACTCACTTTATCAGTGATTTAAATCAGCCCCTCCATAGGTAACTCCAAGAAAGTAAAAATCTACTTGTTGCATTGATTAATAAAAATGGACCAAGCGGATGAGATCAAGGCAGAGGCCCCGACACACCATAGGCTGCAGAACAAAGCAATCTTTTTCCTCATTATTGATTCCTCCTATAGAAATTGGGTAGAGTTTTTTCCCCTCCATTTGGGAGTGTTTACAGAGAAAAATAAAAATAGTTAATAATAATTTATGAGGAAAACTGTAAAGTGATGACATAGTGACAAACAAAGGGCAAGCAGGAGTTACTGAGAGCGTCTTCATGTCATTCTGCTAACCTATTGAACCATGCCATGTGAAGACAGCACAAGACACTAACCTTGCAGCAAGTTCCCTTCTGTCATCTTAGCAAAAACAAAGGCCTGTACAATGAAAGATTATGGATGCAGCTAGAAGCTCATCTAAGTTTTGTTTGCATTCATAATCAGAATGTAAGAGTGATATTTATGCAAACAAATGCATCTATACCAGAGATAAATATAAATGTCTTCAAAAGCTTGACAGATAAGGTCGTGAGGTCTGTGTTATGATGAACTAGAAGGCACTTATCTTAAAGAAATTATCATTTAATTTCATTTAAAAATACTTTGTTGACCAAAAGAACCAGGGCTGTGGGACCACTGTCCAGCTGCAAATTTCATCCCAGAGGGACCAGAGATGGGTTTTAAATGTTAAGTCATTTTGCTTCCTCAGTCTCTGGCTACAAAATTACTCCTCTCTATCCTCCAGTCTAAAGCTTGCAAGAATCAGCCACCAGACAACACTGCTTACTTCGTTCTTGGTACTTCTCCTATACCCTAGTGAGACAAATAGAATATTGAGATGTAACTAACAGTAACGGAGAGTAAGCCTAGCATTGAGGCTATCTCAGGCATCAACTTTTTTTCTATCAAGACAAGGCTTCTCAGTAGCTTACCTCCATGTAAAGAACTGACGTACTTAAGTGAACCTCTTAGTTCTGAGGTGCCTGTGAACAATATGTTTAATATTGTAATATATATTTGAAAATTAAGTAATTAGACGTAGGGCTCATTTCAACAATATGCTAGCAACTAGAAAAAGAGAGGCATAGAAATAACTTCAGGAAAGTAAGTTGGTCGGTGTTATTTAAAGAAAGATTGCGGCCTGTAGTTACTGACAATAAAGACGGCAATTGCGGGCATAATGAAAAGAATCTGGCGTTCTCTCTTTTTTTTTTTTTAACGTAGTGAAATTATGCATAGAAACCTTCTTAAATCAACTGGCAGGAGATTAATACTGTTCTAGATTTTCCTAACTCTCTTTGCACAGTTGCTCACCTGGAGTTTTCAAGATCCTGTACTAAATAGTGGGATCAATTTAGTTTTAT